GAAGCTTTGAACTTTTATCTGTTGGAGTGAGTGGAAGTTGAGAACAAGTAAAATTTGTGCATTTTTGTTTCGTAGGCTTCTCTCGAGATGAGTTCAAACGTTTCCACTTCGCCTTTCACCCCTACCTATGTTAGAAATGCTTCACTGCTCATAAGCTAGACGAGCAGCATCAAGGCTGACGCGACGCGTTTGCGCTGCTGAGGTACCTATGGGAATTCGGCCGAGGTACACATGATAGCTGATGTAGGTAATTGAGCAAGTAAGAGCACACGACTTCAAGAAATGCAATATCTGAATTTCAAAATTTCTAAATTTCTTCCAAACCATCGTCTGAAAATCAGCTTGTAGAGCTTGCTTTGCCCTCTCGAAACATGTGTTTGTACATCAGATTGTTCTCTCGCTTTGATTTCTAAAAATTCTTTTTGAAAAATTTGTAACTGCTCTTCAAGTGAACTTATTTACAAAAAGATATGAAAATTCATTTACCTACTTTTTGATAACAGATTTGCTGCTCTTTGACGACATGGAACTCTAGAGATAAAAATTCAAATAGAAGAACCACTCTGATTCCGGATTGAAAATAGATTGTCGTTCTGAAATGCTGAAAAAAATATGAAAACATGTCTCTTACGGTCGAAGGGAGCAGCAGTCGGCACAGGCTTATATTATAAGCAAGCTGGATATCGTTTTTGGAACAAAAAGCAAAGAGGATATCTGTGGTCGAAAAAACACTACTTATGCAGATTTTTTTCTAATCGACTTTTCGTTTTTTGGGGTTTTACCTTCAGGATTTAAGGTCAGAGGGAGACTTTTTTTGAGCATTTTCGGAAAGCCAGCTCGTGCCGAGCCCCTTGTGGGAGCCGCTCTTTCTAACATTGCCAGATTTGTGCTGAAGGAGCTTTGCACGAAAACAATAATTTCCTTATTTTCTTTTTAAACGTCTTCGTCGTTGTTATATCGTATCACGGTGTAAGAAAATCGAGCGAAGCCATTAATTCATAAATGGTAGCATACCTTTTGAGGTATTCGGGTTCTGCATAGTAAGTGATAGGATTGATTTTGTATCTAACTCAAAAGTCCTCTTCTATCTTGACCAGGAATACTTGACCTTAGAAGAGTTTGTGTTCAACCCAACAACAACTTTTTCAAATCTGACCAGCCTTCATTTCATCCCAGAACCCTACTAGAAAGTCTTTTTTGTAAAGCCCAAAAAAGCTCCTCCGCCTTCGACGCACAGTTATTGAGGCGACTGTTCTCGAATGCCATTAGCAATATCAATAGGATAAGGTTTATGTATTCGGAGTATTGATATTAGCAATAGCCAATCGCTCAAGAAAGGCCTTTTCAATACGCTCTCCATAATTGACTAGCATTATTTAACTTGGAATGGAATATAGTCCATTAGCTGCTTAATGACTTATTGAAAAGACGTTCCGATTATGCTAACAATGCTTATCATTGAGCAGTTGATGGACTTGTGTATGCTTTTCAGTTGTTAAGCGCTGGATTGCGCGAGCCATCGGTAGCGTCTATGTGAGTCTTAACAAAGCCAAAAAAGAGGGTGACCCTCACTTTTAATCTATTGATTGTGAGAAAATGCTAGAGATAACGAGCTGTCCTTCCATAATCGTCATACATAATTCAGCTGTTTGCTCTGAGATTGATAATCCTTTCAATAACGCTACGATGTGTCCGTATTTCTGGCGAATCCGTGTAATTTCCTGCTCTAAAATTCGTAAAAAAACAAAATTCATCTGTTTCTTATGATGCGTACAGTTCTACTAGAAACTGAACCAGGCAATTCTTTATTGCTAATTCACACAGAGTTAGTCAATCTTGTCAACTGTGAGTGCTTTGATTGATGACTTTGAGCAGTTAGGACACCAACCAGGTCAAGCGTGCTGATGCGATCCGGAACCCTCATTTACGACCCCCCTCCCTTGAAGGTACCCATCCGTACGACCCCTCCCTCTTTCCCCCTCCCCCCCCCCCTACCCTCACCCATTTATCCCCCTTACGTCCTCTGCCCACATTCCTCGTGGTGGCCTGCATAAACGAATGTCAATCTCAAAAAATACCTGCGTGAGAACTTCAGTGAGGTTTTGGAAACAGAATTTCTAGGCCATGGGAGCGTCCATCATCTGTAGTACACATACACACCTTTAATAATGTTTGAGATTCTGCAAGTTTTTTTGAATTTTCAGGCATACTTCAGGCCAGCAAGTTCGATTCCCGTAGGCGACACAAATTTTTGCGCGGGAAAAATGACATCCTTGAACTACAAAAGATGTTTTCTACTAAGAAGCTTACTTCCTACCTTTTCCACAGTTTTTCCCGCGAAAAAAGCCGCTTTAGCGCCGTCCAGAACGACTTCAAAAACGTGCATGAGCACTAGTTCGAAAATTCGTAACTAAGGCCAGGAAAAGACTGAGAGGCTGCAAAGCACAGGTTCTGTAGTATAGTGCCCATACTATCCAGAGAACAACTTTCAGCTCTTGAGGAGCAGTAAGTCCGAAAAATTTAGATGCGACTCTTTCTCAAACTTAGATGCGATCCTAAAAAGCAAAAACTAGGATTTTTGAGTTTAAAATTTTGTAGTTTACCAGAGAAGTTACAAAACAGCCTGCAATTTTTATGAGGGAAAGTAGGAGGATGGCCTCATATTAAAGCAGATTTGCAGCCAACAAGCTTCAACGAAAGAAGAAATATAGATGCGACCCAGATACGACCTCCCTTTCCTGACTTTTTGCTATCATACATAAAATCATAAGAAAATCCACGGTTCACAAAATAACACCAGATTTCGCACAGCAATAGTAGAGCTTATTCAAAGTACATATTAATTGTAAGGGCCGTATAAATTGCATTGCAAAAAGATTTGCGAATTATTGATTGTCATTGTTGATCTAGATGTGCGCTTTTGTCGAGTGTGTGAGGCTTCGTTGAGGTTCTGGAAGCAGAGTTTATAGGGCAATGGGTGCGCCCAGCATCTGTAGTACGCATACATACCTTCAATAATGTTTGGGTTCTTAAGTTTTTTTTTTGAATTTTCAAGCAACTTCTGGCCAGCAGATTCGGTCCCCGTACGCGACACCATTTTTTTTTTGAAGGGAGAAAAAACGATATCTTTGAAGCTTAAAATATGTTTTCGATTGAAAGGCTTATTTCCTACCTTTTGCACAGATTTTCATGCGAAAAAACTGTTTTAGCGCCATCCAGAACGATGTCAAAAACGTGCATGAGCACGGTATTTTGAAAATTCGCAACTACAGGCAGGGAAAGACTGAGAGGCTGATAACCAGGCTTTGTAGCGTAGTGGTTATACTAACCATGGAAAAAGTTTCAGCCATTGAGGAGCAGTGAGCTCGAAAAAATCTAGATGCGACTTTCGGAAATTTAGATGCGATCCTAAAAAGCAAAAGTGGGATTTTTGAGCTTGGAATTTTGTATCTCACCGGCGAAGTTATCAAACAGCCTGAAATTCTCATGACAAAACGAAGTGGGATAACCTCGTATCACAACAAGTTCGCAACTAAAAGCTTCAATAGCTCCGGAGAAATCTAGATGAGGCGCTGATACGACTTTCCTTTTCCCATTTTTTGCTGCCATACATGAAATCATAAGAAAATCCAAAGTTGACAAAATGACACCAAATTTTGCACTTATATAGCGGAGCATCTCAAAAGTACAGATAAATCATATGAGCCCGTGAAATATATTACAAAAAGATTTAGAATTTTATGATGGTCACAGCTGGTAAAGACATTCGCTTTTGTCGAGTGTGTGAGACTTTAGGAAGATTTCAGAACCAAGATTTCTAGGGCAATCGGTACATTTAGCATTTTTTATCAAATAATACATCCTTCAAAAGTGTTTTGAGCTCTTGTAAATGTTTTTTTTGTGATTCTGCAGATTTTTTATCTTTTTTGTTCTCATTTCCACTTTTTTCTAATTTATTGTAAAGAACATAACTAATTGTCTGCTATTTGACTCCCTTTGAAGCCTAGGGTATTTTAGCCTAACTACCTTCCCTTACGACCTCCCCTCCCCCCCACCTTAGATACCCTCTTACGACCCCCCATTGCGACAGTCGCATCACAAGCTTGATCCTCACACCAACGGACAGTTTCTCAATTTCACGTCAGCTTCAGCGAAAAGCGGAAGACCTTTGATAAACGAATGCGAAAAAAGATTGTGTGGAATTGTTCGCCTTAGTTGCATATTTTCCCGTGTGAATTTTAATTTGATGCTGTCATCTAGTCTAACTTCAAACGAATATGGAGATTGGAGAACATAGATTAAAAATGAGTTTGTTTTTTTAAATATGTCGCCAATACTAGCACCCGCTCAAAATCCGCAAAAGGTCGTTTATATATAAAAGTGATTGCTTCTTGCTTGCTCATATAATTACATTCGCTTTCCTCCTCTGTGGCGATCAAAACTCCCATCTCCTCTAAACCAACAATCTCGATCTCGAATGTGTAAAAAAAGTTGTCATGTTCGTAGTCAGCATGCGTACGTACCAATCTCTTGAGCTCCACCTGTCTAGCTTGAATGCGATCCAATAATTCGACACAACGTGAGCATCGCGAAGCATGTTACAAGGTTGGTCCAAACAGCAAAACCCATTTTTTGTAACTTAGAAACATACATACAGACATACATATCAGCTTGCAAAGAAGCGTAGCTTTTCTATATAAGGTCGAATGTCGTTTGCTTGAAAGAACGTTTATCACTCAGCCGATCCGACGAAATATCCATCGCTGCTTTTCTAAAATTTATCAGCCATTTTTGCATCCTGTCCGAAATTGCATACGCTCGTTGTTTCTATTGTCTCAACAGGTCGTTTACACTTTTCAGCAGGCACTGAACATTGACCATGCTAAACACACTTTATTTGTTCCGAATTTTCAATACTTACCAATTTTTTTTACAAGAACTTTCCAGGAGTGCTTAAAAAATCCAGGTTTGAGTTTCGGTACAAATTATTTATTTTACAGATTCCTCTGAATACGAGCAAAAAGTACGGAAGAGTGACGTACACTTGCACAAAGACGGGAAATAGGGCCTTTATACATAAGAGTTGGTGGCCTTGTGAGTAGTACAATAAACTTCTATTATGCTGGTAACAAACTAGAAATTTTGTCATTGATAAGCCCAGTGAGTCCTAAGACTTCATAACTAAAGCAGGTGTGACGGTAACGAGGTTTGGACAAAGAGCATCACACCAGTTTGCTTTTAAAGCAAGAAAACGCTTAAGAGTTACAACTGGACGCTCTTGGGCTTGTCTTTGTGCCATCTAAACTGCAAGCTACAATGCACAAATCGCAAAGAACCCAAACAAAGAGTACCAATGAATTCGCGTACTAACCTTGGCTCCAAACAAAACCATAAGCTTCTAAATCGTTTTTTCAATTTTTTGGTCTCCAGGCTGCAATTCAGAATTCTCGGAAGGATGAACCAGGTAAGCGAAAATACCTCCTACCAAAATTTTGCCCGGATGCCGCTTCTAAAGATGTGCCCCATCTTCGACCCAATAAATTAATCATTTCTTCAATTGAAGGAGTGCTTAGGGTTTGTGAATGGTTTCAATAGTATTTTCCGTTTTCCAAATAAAAAGTCTACCAAAAGACCCAAGTTGCCACCTTATATACTTTATAATGAATGTAGTCGAGTGGCCTTTTCAGATGAGACCCATACTACTTTGGAGAATATTGCACAGTGATTCCAAATTTGCCTTCATTATCTGCCAAGAGCCTCTGGACCCCGAGTTATGGGTGTTTTTTTTGGTTCAAAAAATTGAATGCAAAATGGAGCGAAATGGCCCAGTTTGCTCAAGCTGTCCGATGCCAAATATCAGAGCAGTTCACGCAATGGATACATATTGTCTAGTATGTTAATTCTTAACATTGCATTATCTGAGCGCTGAGAAGATTGTAACAATTATTTTTACCCAAATTTTGCACTCATTTTTGGTTCCACAAAACGGTCACAACTCGGCATCTAGAGGCGCTTGGCAGATAATGAAGGCAAATTTCGGGCCACGGTGCAAAGCTCTTCAAAGTGGTATGAGTCTCACTTAAAACACTTAAACTCGCCACTTCAACTACATACGCCTTCCTTGTGAGGTCAATCAATGTTCTAATGCTGCAATGGGTGAGATAGCAGCTACCAAACCTACGATAGTTAAAGGTATCTGCGTTTGAGTCAGGAGCTAGCGTTATCAGCTCCAGTTAGTGGAAGGCCCTTGTACTTATTTATTTTGTTGGCTCACACATTTTGCTTACCATCAAGTAGAGCTCTTCACGCTTCTTATCTCAACTCTCCTCCATGCGTGGAAAATGTAGAGCAGAACATGTTTTTTGGTTTATTGTGCTGAGAATAGCTATTGTTAGCTTGAGGCATAAGACTGGTATCAATTCGAACAATCTTTGGCGGTTTACTCAAAAGAGAGTTCCGCCGGATCTACGAGATCTCTGTCGAAGGGTGTTACTTGCTCAAGAATTTCGCGGAGTAGCAGCGCAACAGAAGGATGTTAAAATCCTGCCGAATCCTTCAAATCCCACTCCAAAGAATGTGATAGAAAGCGGGGACGCGTCATCAATAGTCGAAGATCGCTTATACAAGCAACGGAAGCTGTTGCCTGGCTTTCTCAAAAGAACAAAAATTTTTTTAAAATATCAAAAAATCGAGCTGTGCACTTTCCGATCGACCATCTGATGATATCAAACGCTGTTTGCTTCTGTTTTACACTATAGACATTTGATGAACCATTGAAGCTAGCGTTAAATCACCCTATTGCTGCAGGAATGGAGCTGACAATATCGCATTTTGGTATCGTTTATGCTGGTGTCCGAAAGAACAACACACGCAATATTCTACTGCACAAATGCATATGTGTTTTATTTGAAGGCAGTGTTCCGGCATCGCGCTCTGGGAAACATGCCTGTGGTGAGGTTCTCGCTTACCCCACTAACCTCCAGGCCCAGTCCGGCTTGTTGATGTTCCCTCTGCGCCGAGAATATAGCTCTCAAACCAGCGCGCGCAACCCAATCGGCGTACGCTCGGACGGCTTCATCTGCCTGTTCGGTGCGGGACACTGCGACCGCTCCAACATGAGAGGCGAAGTTTTGGGTGACGCTGCTCTCAAAGGCAGTGTCCCGGCAGATTCGCGTCCTGGGAATATAGGTGTGGTGGGCCTCCCGGTCATCCTATTAACCTTCAGGCCCAGTCCGGCTGGTTGATGTTCCCCCCCCCCACTCGCGTCCAGAAAATAGCCCTCTCGGCGGCTTTCTTTGTCCGACGGGACCCCACGCCTGTTCTCTCATTGTGCATGCTACCCAAAGCAAAAATTACAGGTGGCAGGGTCTTTGTGCCGGCCTCCCCAACTTTTTGAAACTCTCGTTCGTGCTACATTTTGGAAATAAGGTAAACACCCAAAATCATTCTTTTACCCCGTTCAAAGCTCATATTCGGGTTCTTAGTGTCAAAAAGGCTTGAATCATGCAAAGAGGTAGAAATGCAAAATCTACCGGGACACTGCCTTTAGCTGAGCTGTTGTCACCCTACAAACAGAAAACGAAAACGTTGTGTTACGACCTTTTCCAGCTATCAGCCTGTCAGAATAGTTTTATCACTCGTTATTTCTACAAAAGTTGGAAACGGCTGTGGCAAATTCTTCTACACTTGAATACTTGATATGTTGGCGAAAGGTTCTAACTAAGACACTGCCCAAACCGGCCCAAATAATTCGTTAACGGCAGAGAAATCCATCCGTAAACACTTCGCAGCTGCGTCGTGACCGTAATACTTTGGATGGGTCCCAACGCGAACGTAGTGTTAAAGTGAGCAAAGTAGTTTTTGGGTTACGATCACGGCGCAGGCGCGGGGTTTTTGGGACGGATTTCTCAGCCGTGAATGAACAGATTGCGCTGTTCCTTGGGCAGTGCCTTGGTTAAGATCCCCCTCATCAATTTCCAGGCGAAAAAAAAACCATGCGCTCAGATTTGCCTTTGAAGCTTCAGATTGCTTTGTGAGGTCGCTTTTCCAATTTCCGATTGTCGCTACGATTGTGAGTCGCACTAAATTTAACTGCTTTTACTCTTTCCAGAGCTATATTTCCAGTGATGCATTTATAGTAAGCGATTAGGTTTCATTTTGGACTAAAGCGATTGGAGGCAATCATCAACGATGTTAATTTGCAAAGCTAACTTCTGCACTACTCACTTGTACATTTACATGAACCAAAAGTATAGTGTGCGTAGTCTTGAAAAGTTAGAGATTTACAACGTTCGAAAAGATAGGGCTGATCTAATAAAATTCGGATATGTTTGCAAACAGTGGAACGGTCAATGTGTATGCTCTACCACTGCAATAGCTTGTTAAGCAGACCGCTACAAGTTTTGCAGAAGTTTAGATAGAGAATCTAACGCTCAAAATAATGAGTCGTATCAACTCTTTTGATTCAAAAACGTGCAAATTTATCCACTAAGAGAAAATAACATCGCTTTCGCAAAAATCGAACAAGGGCGATCCAGCCATACAGTGTCGATTCGTTTCATGTGATCATATAAGTCACTGCACAAAATGTCCGTTTTTGCCGCTTTCAGCCTGGATGTTTGTAACGGACACCGCTCAAAGTAAAAGTTCTCTGTGTTCGAAAAGATTTCTTTACTTTTTGGGAAACCAATTTGCTCAAGATGCAAACGTCAACAATCGCTCAGTCTCTTGCGTTTTTGCAACCAGAATTTTGGGATGGGTAGGGCAAAGAGCACTTTGCGAGCAATCAAACATATGATTGTATGAAATGTCTCGATTGTAATTTCAAGAGTCGTAGGTTGTTCCCTGGAAACCTCAACGAAACTCATCGAATATATTAAGCTGAAAACTAAGTTTTGCAACTACTTTCATAACTCAGCTTTCTTTGGATGTAGCGCACCCAAACTTGGGCTGTATGTAGAGCGTAGTGTGATCTACAATTGACCAAAGTTGCTTGAATTTTAAGAACAAAATAGAAAATTTCCAGCCATTTTTCGAAAACCAGTAAATTTTGAAAATTTTTTGGGTTTCAAGGCAAAATGAAGTTTTTAGCAGTCTAGACCATGCGCAATAATCCGAAATTGTGTACTAATTGTTGCTAGAGGTTGACTTATTTGGTTCACCAAAAAAGAAATGAAATTTAAGGGCAAGTCGAGATTTGGCGCCCTTATAATTTCGAAAGAGTTGCTGTACGCAAGGCTGCTGGTCAGAACCATAAAACTCCCGAGCCCTTACATATTGAGGTTCTTTGACCTGGTAAACACAAATATCATATTCATTTGTTGAGTCAACGCCTCTTTCCTTGTTTAGAATGGAACCCTATATCGTATACCTAGAGTAATCTTGCAAAACAGCCCTTATTACGCAACTTCAATATCGTTTTCGTAATCAGCATGTCGGATAACTCCCCTACACCAAGTTTTAGCCAAATCTGTCAAATTTTGTAATTTTTCCCTTTATACCATATACCTACCGTAACCCTCACTGCGACGTCAGAATTTGGCGGAACAGCAGCTACGCCTGTAGCTTACGCCATAATCAAAACAGTGGCAAAATTTGAGTGCGCCATGTTGAGTGGTAGGAAAGTTATCAATTGAGTTGCAAAACTTAGTTTCCAACCTAATACTATTTTGTGTCAGTGCGTGGCGGTGAAGCCTTCAAGAAAAAATTAAGAAAAGCTGATTTGTCTCAACTTTTGAGCAGTGATACTTCTTCTTGATTGCGTTGCGTTTCTAATATTTGTGTTCAGATTCTTTTAGGGTTTAGGTCCTTAGGGCTTATGGTTGTTATGGTTCTCCCATGGTTTGGTTCTGAGGCTTGATCTTCTTTGCATTTCTTTTTTCCTTCTTTTTCTTCTTATTTTTTTTCATCTCTCAATAGTCTTCTTTTTAGATTCTTGCTCTTGTCCATGCGGTTCACTATCTTTTTCGTATGACGGTTTCATGGCACGCGACTCTACCTGTCTCATGCTGATCCTTACTCTGGGCTGATTGTGGTCGAGGGATGCGGAATGAATGCTTTGTTGGACTTTAGTTTATGCTAGATCAGACTTTACCACTTCATTGGACCTTGGTTCAATTATTGCCGTTCTCTGTTTGGTTTTCTTTTTACACTTCCATGCCTCACGCGTTAGTTTGGGTCTGGTTCCGTCTTATCACCTCAGTTATGCTTGGGCTAGCTTGTTTGGGCTTGAGACTTTTGCATTGTGCAACTTCTATCGGAGTTCTGTTCTCTCCCCAGAGTTTTGGTTGGGCGGGTTTTATCGATATTACTACCAATACACCTGCTTCCAACATATACAATTGCTTATGTTGAGTAAGAGCATTTTTTGCTAAGAGCAGGGGGCATGAGACAGACTCCATTGAACCTCTATACCTGTGATGACTACATATATGTCTAAACAAGCTCATTCCCTTTCCATTCCCAGAAAGATTTTGCGGACTGGACTTGAACTGATTCAGTGGGGAGTTTGCCTTTTTGTTTTTATTTTTTTTTGTTGTTGGTTGTTTGGTGTGATGCTTCGTTCTTCTGTTGTATGGGCGCGCCTTGTGCGTATTAAATAAATAAATAAATAAATTTTAGTTTCCTAAATGAGTTCAAGAGATCAAAATCAACTAAACGCATCGCATTCACCCGTCATCTGGAACCTAGGTTCAGTAGAATGGGCAGAGAGATGGCTAATGAGTATCACAATTGATTCAAATTGCTCAATAAGGTTCTACCATTATGGTGGGGAAGTTAGACAAGTGGCTTTTGCACGAAAGCTTTTTTAAACTGCATTTAATAATTTCGTAAAATGCAACTTCACTTGCGGATCATAATTGCAACGCTTTCGCGTAATGATAAATTTATTGGCAATGTCCGATATAGAAGCACCTCATTTTCAGCAGATTACTAGAGCGGCTTCCAAACCAGCCCTATTGCGTCTGCGTAGGATTGCTCCTAAAGCGAGAAAATTGCTTCAGAACTAACAATAACGCCTCCCAAATCAGTTCCGTGTTTGTCAAAGCCTGAAATGTGCTGGGATCGGTCTTGCGAAGCTGTCCGGCTGTAGCTGGGCGTCCCGCCATGATTCCTGTTTCGGCAAGCGAGATTCAACCGAGGTGGTCTATGTTTAGATTTCTGAAGCAATTATCTCGCTTCAAAAGCAACACTTCGGAGTCGCAGCCAGGCTATGGTTTGCATGGCGAACCCGCTTCAATTGGTCTGTTGAGACCATGGTGACAAATCTGCCCGGACACGCTTTCAAAGGCAGTGTGCAGGATGTTTCCCACCTACCGTACTTGACGGACGATGCGTATGAGCTTGCATAATTTTCGAATAAGAACCAATAGCATGCAAGTCAGTACAAATCGTCCGTCGCTGCAAAAGCTTGTCTTGCAAAAAGTGTCTTGCCTTATGAGCAATATAAATTACATGTGGGTGAAGTAGAGACAAAAGGTTAGCACAGACAAAATGAGAATTTTTTGTGATTGGAAAAAGAGCTATGAGCGTTATTCCTGCGACGGAGAAAAAGACTTGCGTGGCACTTCTTTGGACAAGAAAAGAGGACCCTTTCATAAAAATAGGCAAACCTTGAATTGTGAGGTTTTCTTGGACGAGCAATTCTTGGAAGAAGTTATCTCTTGCACTATAGCTCGATTTAATGGCTTGCTACTACCAAATTAAAACTTATTACAGTCAACCAACCTCACCTGCGTTTCAGTATTGTATATAGGTTGTGTAATAAATTCGTTCGCATTTTTTGTTTCATTTCTTTCTCAGTATTTTACAAAGCATTTCGCAAAATGTTTATATGTGTTCGAAAGCTCCGAGTCTGCTCTGCAAAACTATCTTCATTATGTTCCCAGTTCATCAGAAGTTGAATAAAAAATTTGACTAGAAACCGAGAAATCTGAGAGAGCGAAAATCCCATTTTGACACTTGTTACGCTGCGTCTCGAATGGGTTTGAACGCTTGAAAAACAGCGCGGAAATTTTGCGATGGGTATGAAAAGAATACTGTAGCCCCCGCAGATTGCTTATAAGTGCTAAAATTTTTTGAAAATTCGTATTGTAAGCTTAAAGATAGGTATATTTTTAGATGTCTCTTCGGCGTCAAAGTTAAGCATCTGAAGGCATTTTTGAGGGAGGGTGGTACCGAATAATTTAAGAATTGGCAGACAATGTAGTCTATGATTGTTAAATCATCGAATAAATAAGTTGTATATTCAAAAATTAAGAATATGGGGGACAAACATCTTAAGTGTGCGAAACGACGAACGGCCCTGCGGCAAAGCCTTGCTATGCCGACTTTGCAAAAATGGCATTAAACGGTCGGTGAAAGGAAGTGGGCAATTATATACATTTTCAATTAGTGCATAAGTGATTAGCCAGTTGCTTTTTTGTTTTCAAGCCTTTTGATCAAATTTTAACAATGAATTGCGGGAAAACTATGGAAGAAAAAAGATATCGAAAATAGAATTTTTGCCTCCAGATTTTTCGGTTTGAGATGGAATTTTTTGTACAACTGTTTGAGAACTGAAAATATAATAATAAGAATTTGGTAGAGCAGACTCAAAGCTTCCGAACTCATGCTAACATTTTGCCAAATGCTTTGCAAAGTATTGAGAAAGAACTCAAACAAAAAATGTGAATTACTTTTACACAACCTAATAAATACATTGTTCTGTAGGGCAGCAGATACTGTAGCACGGATTGTAGTCATAAGAAACTGATAAGGTTTCAATTATCTTTTCGTATAAGATCTCACAAGGTCAAAATGAACGCAGAACATTTGCGAGTACACCATTGACAGTTTGAGTTGCCGCAATTACAGAAGATTTGTTTTGTTGCTCAAACGTCCTAAAAAATTTTGTTGCAACTTTCGCAAAGCTCAATTCTTTTCGATAGCACACTGTCATTATGAGCCAGAGAATAAGAATTAATCTTGATAGGTAATGTAGCGCTAATGATGCCAGTTACGCAAGAGAATATGGCAGGATATCCCTGCATGTAGAAATTCAAAGAAGCGTCTTTATAACAACGTAAACATGGACCCAGAATTTTCGATTTCGAGTGTAAATTAAGGTGAACACCCGTTCGGTACTGTGGCAATGTAAACTTGAGCACAATTCCAAATTTCCATATGTAGAAGAATGCTATTCATTTTTTCGCAGGTCAAGGCAAAATCGAACAACCCTCACTAAGTGAAAATTGACTGATGCTGGGTGGAGCTAGGTGCGGTCCACCAATCGTAGAACATTATTTCCTCTTTATAAACTGAAGATAGGAGAAATGATGCGAAATTGCTGTTCTATCACTCCCAGTAGTAACGCATCCGAACACTTCCGTTTCCTGCATCTTCGCAAATGTACGTTATTCTTCCAATTTTTGCACTGCTACCAACGGCGATCTGTAAAATTTTGATTATATCTGCTTATCGCTTGCTGGAAAGTTAAGTCACCCTTGGGAGGCAAAGGATTTTTCTATAAAAGAAAAACAGTATGAAACTGTAGTAAAGTTTACAAATCATTACTCAGTGGAAACTGTTGGGTTGGAAAAAAATGTCGCGCTTTATTTCCTCGGCATGACAACTTGGTACCCAAAACTACATGGAGTACATTCGATAGAGCAATGCAAGCTCTAAAAAATGGCACTAGTGCTGTCACTTTGAATTAATCCACGGGTGGGAGATTACGCTTTCGCCAAATTGATGCTAAACTGTTCCCGCGTGAGTAATTCTGTTTTACTTGGCTGGGGATACAGCAGGAGTTTTTCAGCCTCTTACAAGTGATAGTCTTTTACAAGTGTCGAATTTAGCTTTTTTTTCTGCCTCTTAAATTAAATTTGGTTTTTCTCGAGACCTAACTCTTGTAGAAGAGTAAAAGTCCACGGGTGTGCTTCCCAAGCCAAATAGTATAGAATTGCTTACACCGGAAACAACCCTGCATTCACTTTGGCGGAAACATAAGAATCTAAGTTTTTTGGTGTTTAGTCAAGGAAAAAACAGCAAATGCGCCTATGAATGTTTTGTGAGGAATGTGTGCCCATTAGGAAGTTGGAGTCCGAAGAAATTTTTTGAACGGAGATACGATTTTTTTCATTTTTCGCCTATTTGAAACTGTACATTAGGTGGAATTTTCAAAAAATCATAACTTCCTTCCTTCTGGACGGAATTTCTTGTTTCAACTTTTGTTTGGAAGAGAAAACTTTTCTCATTACAATAGTGTCTTTGCCATGAATTGGCATTGGAAAGTTTCAGAGCCAGAAGCACCGAAGGAAATCAACCAAGATCGGCATTTTTCAAGCTGAATCACGAAAAATTCTCGAAGTATTTTTATTTGATAGAGAAAATTATGCTGATTACAATAATGCCTTTTCCATGAATTAAAACGAAAAAGATCGAGAGTTAGGAGCAAATAAAGAGAATTCCTTCAGTTTTGCAACTTTTGAGCATGCTCAAAAAAGCCTAAAAACGTCACAGAAAAGACGGAAAAGCCATGAGCATGGGTTTTGTGACCTCTTCTTTCTAGCTGAGTGAAAATCGGACCAATCGAGAGCAATATTGATTTTAGCGAAAAACACGACACGAAAATCTGGAAATATTACGAAAATCAAAATTGCCCTCGATTGGTCCGATTTTTGATCGGCTAGAAAGGGAAGATCACAAAACCCGTGTTCTTGGCTTTCCCGCCCTTTCTGTGACGTTTTTGGGCTTTTTTGGGCATGCTCAAAAATTGCAAAATTGAAGTAATTCTATTTATTTGCTTACAACTTTCGATATTTTTGTTTTAATTCGTGAGAAAGGCACTGTAGTAAAGAGCATAACTTTGTTTATCAATAGAAACAATTCTGTGATTTTTCGTGGCCTAGCTTAAAAAATGCCAATCTTGAGTAAATTTATTTAACTGCTTCTAACTCTCGAACTTTCTCACGCACGGCAAAAATAGTTGTAATAAGAAAGGTTTCCCCTTCCAAATAAAAATTGATCCAAGAAATTCACCAAGAAGGAAAGAAGTTATGATTTTTATGATTTTTTGAACATTCAGCGAACGAAGTTTTGGACCCACCTAATAGATTCGTCTTCAAACTTCACTGAATCGAACTTGTGCAAAAGCAGTAACGCCTTTTGTGGAGCTTGCGCTGCTCTATCGAATGGTACCGCTTATACCTTTTTAGGTTTGTCTTATTGCGATGCCATGTTCAGGAAAAAAAGCGACATTCTTTTTTCCACCCTAATATAAATGTGCGAGTAGAAGAAAATCCTAATAAACGAAAAGGGGGTCTTTCTTTATGATCGAACTACATATCATTAGATCGCTTCAAAATTTTAAAGAAAAAATGACCAGTTTTTAGCGTGATAGACCTACACGTCCGTCAGATAACCATCAATTTGAGGAATCGGGATAAGGTATAGTATACCAGCATAAAAAAGGATGGACATGGAAAAAGGATGTACGTATGTTATACCAAGTTTTTTCAACAATGCCAACACTCTGAACATTCCTTCATGTCTACATAACATTTATTCCTCATGTACACTGTTTTTGGTATTATTCGTTGTTATTTTTTCCACAGTACATAGTTAGTTACATATGTTGAACTACACAGGCTTTCACACTATACAATTTCATTAGCAACAAGAATACCTACTTAGGGTGGTGATTGAAGACGAGTTGCTAGACCAGCTGTTCAACGCTGATTCCAAATCTGCTTTCTTTTTTTGCAATGAAATTTTTTGAAAGAAGTTATAAGCGTATAGAAGCCGCTTAAAAAATTTTTAAAGTTATGAGCGGCAAAAACCAAAAAGCTGTGCAAAAGCAATTGAAAGTGAGAAATCCTTTTTTTAAGTATATTGACTACAAGGAAAAAACACAGTTGATGAAAATTAGTATAGCCATAGAACTTTTCGCTGGTTATGTGTCACTGTAGGCTTGAGAAATTCGAATTTTTGAACGCTCATAACTTTTTTTGAAAATTTCATAATGTTGAAAAACGCCTTTAGTGCTATAACCCGTTTCAGTCGTCACCTTAATTTGATACCTTTCATTTGTAAAATATCAAGACTGAACATCGTGACAAAAGCGTGTTTCTTCATAGAGCATAAAAATATAGTGCTTATGGGTCAAGGGAAGCTCCATGATTTGGATACATATCCGGATGGTTTCTCAAAGTCATAATGCATAAAGTCGTCGTTGAGCTGTCATAGATCAAACCCGGGTCTAGGTACATAATTAAATCACTTTTGGCTCAGTTAAGATCAAGAAACTTATATGAATACAAGCCTAGCAGAATCACGAACAACCACGAGAGTTCATCGCGGTAAAGGACGTGGCAAATATTTTCTGAGGAACGATTTAGTTGAAATTCGTCCTGCTAGCGCACAAAATGGCAGTGGACATCCAAGTTTCGATAAGAAATACGCACTTTCACTGAACATTGCATTTTATATAGCGTCTGCTCAAAAATGTAAAGTTGTCGTGAAACTAAATTTTCGTGGGTTATTGCCACTACCTACTCTCATGCATCATATTGAAGCACTGTCTTATTGCTTATCGCATCATCTCCGTGCTCATGCCTTGGCGGTCATATCGAATGCAAAACCACAAACCTGCTTGTTATCTACTATACAACCCAAAATTGTAGTTCTCCAACCACCCCAGTTCCCCACCTTCAGGCATTGCATCAGAAAGCTGCCTTCGACCTTAAGCAACTATGATCATGAAGACAAAATAAAAGTTATCCACTACCCATTTTTCATTATCGCTGCGATCTTTACCACCGACATTACAAAGACAGTACACAGTAGTAAGGAAGGCAAATACAATGAAGAGAGCCCGCATTTGAAGAAAATTGCCGCAATTCACTGAAATTATATGTGATTTAAAGTTACTCGCATAAGATGCTTAGTGAATTAAGTGAAGATATCTTTTACAAAGACTCTTGCTGGAAAGGCATACCAGGCAAGACGCTTACGTACAAAAATGAGACTATTCCAGTTATTATACGCTCATAATGTGATGGTAAAGGAATGCTTGATGCGTGTTATCGCATATTCAAACCCTACAAACTCCATTAGACGCTGGTGGGCTTTTATGATAACATGCAAAGTATTATCGTGTAACAATCAAAAACATTTGTATAGAAAAAGAGTGTTACGCATCTTTTTGGTTTGTTGAATTTTTGTTGACTGTTTGTCTTGTGACCCAAGTCCTTCATTGTAGACTTGTGGGAAATATTGTTATAAAGGTAGCGCTTTTTATAATCTGCTGAGGGTCGCCTTGTTTAAAACACCATTCAGACTTTAGGGTGATAATCACCACGGATCTCCCTATACGGGGTTTCAGCAGGTTAGTCGCGTGGGTACGTGGAACGTCTGGGTGGCAAGTAGGGGGCTAACGCGACCAAAAGCGACCCTGCGCCTGCTCTGATAAGCAAACGATGCGAAATACGGACTCCCTGCCTCATCAGAAGCTTGCATACCTATTTCGCGGCAGCCGAAAACGAGAAGGGCAATGAGGATCTGTGCTTACAACCACGGACGCTCTCATCGGACGCATCCATCGAAGATCTCATGATGCAAGCGAGGAATATCAAGTACGATGTTATCGGACTGACCGAGAGAAGAAAACACACCCGCTGAACGCCACTGATGGTGGGATAGAAATTCTTTTAAGAGCTGTGCAGCGGAGGAGTCGGCAGTGGGATTCCTTGTCAATACGAATTTGGCCGTGAACATCGGTATTTGAACAACTCACAGCTCGAATCGGACATTCACGAATATTGAAATGCAGAAATCAAACGCCCCAACAATGAGCTACTACGAATAAGCAAGCTCGAGGCTTTCTACATGGACTTGAAGTTCCACAGAGATGAGCACACCTTTACAAAGTATCGTCGATGACTTTAAGCGAGGATCGGAGCAAGAAAGTCACTTGCAAAGCTTCATATCGGGACCCATAGTCTATAGTGGAATGAAAAGGGGGAGGAATTATCCGAGTTCTCCATGATGACGTTAACCATAGGTTTTGCCTTACGAGGTCGCTGTTGTTCCGTTTACACAGGATCGGATCATCGTCTCCTTCGTACCAAGTAGGTTCTAATTTTCACGGGTGGAAAGAGGCCTTGAGTTCAGGAAGCGACTACCTTTAGCTGAGATCTGCTTCAGTCGATATCTGACTTCAGAGAGATAACGTGGTCGACAACATCGACGAGGAATACGAAAGATTTATCCAGCATCCCCACGATTGTGCTAACAGGGGAATGGTCAGAAGTCGAAGTGGCCAATCTAAACAAGCTGCATACCATTCGATGCAGCATAGAATGATGACTTCAAATCTGTCATCCATATCTGCAAAGCGCCTTTGTAGGAGAAGTTATGAGCAGCATTACTGCGAAAAAATCGTACACAAAAATTGCGAAATCGGGCACATTATTGCCCTTGCAATAATGTGCCATGCAGATAAGGAAGACAGATTTAAAGTCAGCGTTTTATGCTGCATCTAACGGTTTGCAGCTTGATTTTGCCACTTCGATTTCTGACCATTTCCTTGTAAGGAAGTCGGGAAATCAGGAAGTACGAGACAACATCTGTCAACGAAGATTCTGGAGCTGATATGCCAAACTACGAGCACAGGCAATTAGCTTCAAAATTTAACTTCCTTCCAAGGTTGTTAAGCAGTGCTGAAAAGCGGTGAAAGAGCTGAGCGAGGGAGCCGAAATCCGGAAAAGATTCTGGACCACATACACACGGTATCTAGGCTCATTAAGAAGAGGTACAGCAAGAGTAAAGACCGTCGCTCTGTACTGCTCTCGACTTGAATAAGGCATTTAATTCGGTTAAGACTGTGGCTGTCATCGATGCCTTAAGCAACTAATGCATTCTGGCAGCCCATCGATATATCCAACGACTTCACAACCAGCATCACACCAATTTACGAGGACATCATCATCGATGTGAACAAGAGTAATACAAGAAGGCGATACCATATCGACAGAATTTTTCAGCACTGCTGTCAAAACGTTATGCGCACACTACAATGGGGAAGGGAACGCAGGGAGTGAAAGTTGACGAACGGCAACTACGCCATCTTCGCTTCGCTGATGACTTAGTCCTGACTATACCGAACATCAACAAGCGCAACGAATGTCGGCTCAACTTGACGACGTGTGTAGGAAGATCGGCAAAGGTTAAATCTGACGAAAACGATTATGAAAAACGGGTGGGACCCTGGTCTTCCCCTGAATGGGACGAGTGTTACCGAATGCTCTAGCCTTATCTACTTAGGTCGAGAAGTAAACTTGATGAACGACGTAGTTCCGGAACTGAGCGGGAGTAAACGAGTAGCATGAGAGCGTACAAGGCAGAAGACGTAGTGAAGAGGACCAATAACACTCGGTCCGCGCCCATTTTTCAACACGACGGCTCTTCCTATTTTCACAAACGCTTTGAAAAAATGGATTATGAGGAAGCGCGACGAACATGCGGTGAGCGTCACCGAACGCGCTTTTGAGAGAGTGAGTGGAAGAGTGTCCCGACTCTCTCCCGCAAGTGATGAAAGAATTTCGGGGTTTTACCTTGTCAACGATCGAATCGGGGACGCTACTGCTGACGCCAAACAAAACAAAATCAAATGGGCCTACTGGTGCGTTTGACGACAATTGGTGGACCAGAGCTGTAATGAATTGAACACTGCTGGACGCGGAACAGGAAGACCGCCGAATCGATGGTCGGACATGTGCATGAAGTCCTATGAAGAAGTCCTCCAAAGCGTTATTGTGTCTTTGGTTGGATAAGTCACTGGATCCCGCTCATGTCAAGCGACGAACAATGGAGATGTAGGTGATGTATGATACACACTGCAAAAATTTACGGGAACCCTAGAAGGTCGACCGGTCGCGTTCAGGCATCTAATGGACTCATTGCATACGAGAAAGTAGCAGCAGTAGTGACGATTTGCAATGCAATACTTTTTTGTTTCCCGATCCGATTCAGAAAAGAAGGGTTTTCCTTTCTTGCTGTGCTTAGATGAGCCATACGCTCTACAGAAGGAAGAAATGTGGTGATTATAATCGCCTCGTGGAAATTGGCAGATTTCTCACGTAGCTAACATATTTTGTTCAAACTTCTCCGAAACATCTATAACAAATACAGTTTCACAATAGACAATTATTCTAAACCCAAATCTTTCGCTTTAAAAAGGCGACAACCATTTACTTCCGACTACCGTTTGTGATTTATATGTTGAATAAGATACTATATATATATAATCTAACCTCAAGTAAGCAAAGCTTTGCGAGGTGCCACAGTTGCAACAAGAAATACTGATGATTAATTGCCTCTATTCAAGCACAGGTAATAAGTGATCTTTTGCACAAGGTACTACCTAAATATCAAAGAATGTTTCAGAGTTTTTCAGGGTTCATGTTGTGTTTTATAGCAGTTTTTTATTCTGCGGCAGCGTAGTTTAACAGTTCGTGAGTGACAAAAATCGCCAAGTTACACCTTCCAGGATCTATCTGGTATACCTGGCTTCGTTCGGTCCCTGTCAACATGACATGTTCAGATTCTCATTTCACTTCTACACAATATCAGTTCCGTACCTTATCTGTCTCACTTGTATTGGGTTGGAAAGAAAAGAATGTCGCGTTTTCGGGTTTTTTCAGCTGACACTGGTATTTCTCAGGAACTAGAATATATCGAAGGTCCAAATTCCATCATGAAAGTTTTGAAGGTTTGTGGTACACAACTGCATATATGGGCGGAGCCCAGGACTACTAGGGGAGAAATTGGCCATTCTTCGTTCTTCAATTTTTTCCTGGTTTTCAATTGCGAAAAAATGTGGCGCAATATAATGCACAAATGGATAAAAGCATGTGTCTGCTACATGCTGAAGCAAGTGAGAGATTTGTGGGTTTGGAGCGAAAATCCGATTTTTGGCACTATTAATCGTTTTTACGTTTTGGCTTTGAACTTTGGGTAAACCATGACTTTAAGGCAGCGCCCAGGCAGAATATCAACTTCAATTTTTTGTTTTATTCAGGCCTTTCAATGACGTTGATTCCAAATATGGCATCCAAAACGTAAACTCCTTGAAGAACCCCATTTTTGAGACAATTTTGTGAGAACCGTGGACGAGTGCTCCTAATGCTGTTCCTGTCGAAAGCGAGCATAAACAGGTATAGAACCATGTGTTTGATTGTGTTTGCTACGTGGAAATACGTGAAGGGCTGAGAAGAGTCGTTCAAGGAGGAGGGCCGTGCGGAGTGGGTGTGGTCCTCGAGGCTCGGCGTTTTCTGCGCCATTTTTCTCCTTTTGCAAGGGATGTTTGAAAGTCGGATTTGCACGATTGTTCCAGACTAAGGCAATAGTATCCGGTTATGATAGTATCCGAAAATTTCCGAATCTGCTCGGACGCTGCCTTAGAGGCGAAAAATGTAACTGCATTGCGTAGCAAAATTTCTGTTGTCCTAAATCATCAATCAAATTCTTCAAATTTTTTACGAGATTTCAGAAATGTTTTAATGATGAGGAGGGTAATGAAAAGTTTGAATCTTCTGCAAATCTAAAAGGACATGAGAAGAGACAGTTGTAAAACGTGGATGCTAAGAAGAGTATGGGGTGCCGCTTTAAATTTATGTTAGTTCAGGAAGTTATAGTATCACCATATTATATAATTTTTGATACAATTTCTAATAAACGGCACAGACTTTTTTACTTAGATACTTAGATGGTCCGGCTTCACGTGACGTGCGGGCCCCAGCTGAGAAGTTTCCATTTCTCCCTGTCTCTCGCTTCAGACATCCACGATCTTCTTGGCTGACGTCGGTGGCTGCGTCCACGAGTTCCAGGTGCAAAAATCGTATCCAGCTGA